TACAACCTGTGGACCTGTTGCACGACGGGAAGGGTTGAAATGGTCCGAAACGCCCCGCTGCGCTGCTGGGGTCGCATTAACTGCTACAGATACTATTGCTAGCCCACGAGCTGAGTTCTTGCTTGGTCAGTGGTTCAAGGCAGAGTTACTCTCAGAGAGCCCCGTGCCACCCTGCCGGGAAGCGAGCAGGCCCCAGGCTTGAGCACAACTCCAGGCGTGCGGCATTCCCTCCTGGCCACAGCTCTGCCAGGGGTTGCATTTGGTCATTTTATTTCCGTGTTTGGGTTGGTCATTCACAGTGCCCGAACAGCAGAAAAAGGCAGCATCAAAAGCAAAGCCCCATCAGCGAAACCCAGGGCAGAGCTAGCGATGCCGAATGCAGACCAGCACCTGTGCTGCTCACCATCAGCCCCCACAGACGCTGCCAACTGTTAGTCGAATGCCCTTTCCAAATAACACAGGAGAGTTTCAAAGGGAAAGCTCTCCCAGGGGCTCCTGAGGCAGGAGGCTCCTCAGGCCACAGCTCCAGCTCCCCAAGAGCCCCGTGCTCTCCTGCTTTCTCTTCCCTACGTCCAGGTCCTCCCTCCAGAACTCACACGCGACATGGGCAGAACCGGGACACCCAACACCTAAGCAGGCATCTACAGAGCCTCCTCCAGAAGGCAGAGCTAGTGCGGTCAGAACCGTATGGGCGGCATGAGGAGCTCTTCCATCCTGCCTCCCCTCAGCTCTTCTATCCAAGTACATTTAAAAACAATGGAGCAATACAATTGTTTAAAACCAAAGTTGTCTGCTTTTTCCTGTGGTAGTAGGTGGTCTTGTCTGCTCCTGCCACCAGGACAAGAATAAGAGGCCGTAGCCCGGGGCTACTGGTTTTCCTCACGCATCTGTTCCATGATGTTGATGAGGCTTTCCAGCCCGAATACATAACCCATGTCGGGTCCATCATGCACAGTGGGGTCATCGCGAAAGCCTTTGAACGTGCTGTGTGCAAAGTCAATCATACGCACGTCCACCTTGGGCTGGGCTGAGAAGCCGGGCTCTGTGCTGCCGCCATCCTGAAGGCTCTCCGGGAGAGAGCTGTCCACACGTTTCAAGCGCATCTCCGGCCGGCGCTCCACAAACATCCCTGCCCTGCTGTCCTTCCCATCGTAAATGATAAGAAGGGAGCTGGAGTAGAAACGGTAGGAGGCCTGTCTCTCCAAAACTGCCTTCAGGCTTCGCAGTTTGGTGAGGACAGGCTCAAAGAGGTCCTTGCGCAGCTCAATGCCATTGTGGAGATACTGGTAGAGAGCATTGCGGAAGCCCTCGATGGAAAGACCACGTCCATAGTATTTATTCCTGCATAAGTAATGCCCTGTGTCCAGCTGATAGACCTAGAATGCCAAAGGAAACACACATCAAGCGGGAGCTCGGTTAAGGACACACAGAGAGCCCTGAGCTGTCCTGCACTGACAGGGCAGAGGGAATTCGTCCTGTCCCCACCATGCCCAAGAGGGAGCAGGAAACAGCTCTGCCTGTTCCCTGAATCCCAAAGCAGCTCATGGGTGCATCCCATGGGCACAGGCAGGGTGCCGAAGCACTGGTTCCCTCCCAGGACACCCAAAGGGTGGCTCTTCAGTCCAAGTGTCCAAGAAGCACAACACAACAGACCCCAAGGCTTAAAAAGCCAAGCCTTACAGCAACTGGGACAATCCTCTGGCAGTGGGAGCTGCCAGCACATACTGCTGTTATCGCGTGGCATGTGATTAATGAGGGGCCCTCATTGCTTCAGAGTCTGCGGGCAGAGATCTGGATTACAGGATCCTTCTGTGGGTGGGGCAAGGAGCAACTATTGCACAACAGCACCAGCAGCAAATCCCTGCGTGCAGGGCCTAGCCACAAGAGGAGAGCAACTTCTTAACTCCCAATACAGTACAGAAACAAATGTCAGCTGATGCTGGGACAGAGGGACACCTCCGTCCCCAGGCACCGTGATTCTAGCTGAACACTAAGCCACAAAAATAATTTTATTAGAAAATCCCCTAATTGTCTGTGAACAAAACTGCTTTGGATAAAGTAGGCCATTTCAGGAGAAGCTGGTTCCTTCATTCTGGACTTAGAAGTGAAGACAAAAAGCACGTACCATGAACACTGATGTACCTACCTGAAGTGGAAGACTCTTAACTCATTGCTCAGCAGAAAACGCTAACTAGGAGGTCTAACGGGGCTGTGAAAGGGAATGTGCAGTACCTGCAGCCTTGGGGATCCCTACCTGCATCCCACACACGCGCACGCCCAAGGTGGCAGAAGTGCTCTGTTCACACTTCTTCATCTGCCGAGCAGCCTTCTCCTCAGATGCATCATCTCCATGCTGTCTGGTCCCCATCTTCAGATCAAGAACGCAGGGAAGCTTGAAGTGATGCACCACGTTCTCCAGCAAAAGGAACTCTGGGAGACATGTCAAGGACAGCTCACCTGTCAGAGACACCAGTCCCCGGGGCCACCACAGACAGGGACTTGGGCCAGCATGAGATAGGGTCAGGCAACAAACAAATAGGAACCCAAAGAACAGACAGAACAAACTGTTTGGGGAGGTGAAGAAAAGTACAAAACCCAAACAGTGGGGCTTTCACAGGCTTTCACACTTGGTAGAAGAAATCAGCCTGGAAAGTGGAACAGCCAACAGTAAGCAAGGAGATCACATGCAGGCGTACTGGAACGTCAGCAGGGGGAACCAAAGAGCAGAACGCTAGTGTCAGGAAAGACACAATCTGCCCCTAAGAATTGCTGATGCATTAAGGGAGAGCTTAAAGTCTAATCAAATTAGCAGTTTAACCATATGGATAAACAATACAATCCCCATGGACTAAAAACTCAAGGCTCAAGTAATAGCACAGTACTTGTTGCTATTGGCCTGCCCAGAACGGCAACA